GTACCCATCCCATATGCCAACAGGAGCCCCTCTGACCTCCTTTCCTCAGCACTTTGTCACAGAAACTACTCATCATAGCAGAGACGCTGAACCGACCCAAGTCGCGATTAATGAATGTCTCGAAAGCTGAACGGAAAAGGGAAGAAATCAGTGACTATCAGAGTAGGAATATGTGTTTGCTTTTCTCAGCTGAGCTCAATAGTTTTCCCATCACATAATCAAAATTCACAAAGTTGTACGGAAACTAACGATAATTTCCAAATATTTCCTCAGAACTTTCATATTGTCAAAACTCACCCTCCTTCAGACTCTTCTGGAACAAGCCGTCGGATTGGAAACACTCAGCAACAATACTCTTGAACCTGTCAGAGACCGTCACGATGATGCCTCCAACAAAACCCTTCCGCACAACACTCTTTACTTCCACGACTACCCATAACAACACAGCTCCATTTTAGCACGCCAGCCCATCCATAATTTAATCCCTCATTGAAGTCAATTTGACGAAGATTTTCAGACACAGCAGCTCACTAGAATAGAGGGAATCGCTCCTCAAACGAAACGATTTATCCCGAGTTAAACCGACACGGAAGAGATGAGCTCGATAACGTCCTAATTATATGGCAATAAATCCACCCTACCTATCGTGCATGTCAACGAGCTTCTGTACGAAGGAAGGGTCGGCCAGGATCTCCGCCTTAGCCTGCGGGCTCGGCTGAGGACCCAACGCCTTCAACTGCTCCAATAATACATCCACCACACTGTTACCATAGTCCTGTACGTATTGTCTGAACAGAAACATGGAAATCTTAAAAACGATTATGGACCGAATCAGCGCATTGTATTCATAACAACAGCGACCATGCACCCTCCCATTCCCATTACTTGAAGCTCGCCGCGATAGGCACCAACCCATTGTTAACCAGGCCAAACAACCGCCAAAGACGGGACTGCAACAAGAGGTACTCACTCTACCATAATTTCATCAAATCATACCAGGTCCTCCCTCCTATCGTTATCTAGCATCCATGTGATGCTCGTGTCCTTCTCCAAGGTTTGCGACTGAAAACCGTTCAATCACTTAGACCGAGCCATACTCCCCAATACCGATCGCTCGTGCTACATGTGGCCGATATTCACTAATAACAATAATAAAGCACCAAATGTCTTCATCAATAACCACTCGCTCTAATGAATACATAGATGGCAAATCTGCGCGAAAATTATGAGAAAACTACCGAGGGAAACTAACGCGATGATCAATAATATATCTTTGTACTTCATACTATACATATATGGATGAACCAAAACAACTACCACTACTGCTTCCTACGAGGCGACCCCCCCTTCCTCAGCTTACCATGGTATTCGCCAGCGTCGCTTTAATGACAACATTTTTAATTTTCTGCATAGACGAGGGGTGCAAGTACGTCTCCACTCTCTTCTGCTCTGAAACACAACAGCAACATAATAATTCTACTGTTGATAGTGTGAACTCGATCTCCTCTTTTTCTATCACTACTCCAATTGTTGTCAAACCAGAGCCCTCCCCCACGAATCCCATCCCACTCACCTGCCATCAGAGCCGACTCGGCCTTCACCAAATATTCCGGCAGGGAATCACCAACGAGCCACGCCTTAGCCTGCCGCTCATAAAAGCGCTGAGGAATTTCACGATCACTATCACCAATCATGTCAGCCGATCTATTACGTCAGTTTCCGGTAGAAGGTACTCCTCCAGTTCCTGCTGATACACCCACAGTGTGCTCCCCAGTTCATCATTAGCATGGACCGGTGCAGCACCCAAAGTAGGACGGTTACTACGACCACTGATATGGAATATACCCAATCCATAGCATACCTAGTGCTAGAGCTGCTACTGCTCCCTTGCCCATCACTCGCGCTGCTGGCTCTACTCGCGTTACCAAGATCGAACAGCATATCCACGACTCCTCTAAGTAGACCCTGATCCACTTCAGTACCTGATCTCAGCATTCATAGTGTTTACAAACTCACACAAAACAAATTTCCTTCTAATAACAACGGAGTTTCACCCGTGATATGAAAAACACTAGTGAGCAAAAGCATAGCGCGAATACCGCGTTTTTCACCGAGCTTTACGCCACTATACGTAAAACGGGCGAAACTCCAATAATCCTACCTTCCCTCTCGATATTGATCATCTCTAGAATAGCAGTTCGGCATCTAACAGGTACGTGACCATGATCGAACGCCAAAGTCTTGAAAATAGTGACGCTTCGCACAGCCAAAGTGTCAACAGACTGCAACTTCACATAATACCTGTCAATTCACAACCCCTGCATGGGTGCCAAATCGGTACTAAATATTGGGAGAAACTCCCACTAGTAGATTTTCACATAGGGAGTATATAACAGAACATAGCGATGCAGCTGAGGAATCGAGAAACAGTTCTTCTCGCATGTCATGCGATGTCTTTATTCACATATCAGCGTTTTCACAAGTCTCGGAGTATCTTCACAGTGCCCTTCCTACCGATCCAAATACGTAAAGAACCTCTCCATCCACTTGCTGTAAAGCTTATGGTTATTCCATCGTAGTAGTAGCTCCTTAAGAAGAGCCTCTCCCTCAAGTCCTTCTATCTTCGGTACAACCTATTACCGAGGCAGTTAATAATGCACCCGCCAGGATTCGAACCCGGGACCAGTGCTCACTTTCTTCGTCACATACGACGCCATTGACTCTCCATAACGTTGATAAAGCTCCTCTGACCAGTTGTTCGGTGACCGCTGAGTACACATGTTATATACAGTCCTGAAAAGACCTACCATTTACCCAAAGCCGACCCACTTCTCCTATTACGTATAGAGCTGTGCATAGTCGCCAGCACCAAAAATACGAGGTGGCTTTCCTTCGACTTGCACCACATCCTTAGGCACCTTCCCAGTATTCAAATAGTACCTTACCAACAAGCAAAGGAAATACCACACCTTGCGAAGATCATGGAGCCTACTCCAGCCTATCAATTGCTTTCTCTCGAATTAGAGTCCATCCCTCGTCCAAAGGAACAGTCTCCCCATGAGCAGACATGATCGAACAATAACAACAACAACAATCACAAACCTTACCACAGACATTTACTTCAACACATCCGACACTTCGCAGATCACTCAGCAGACAAGAGCTCTTCGAGCAACCCAGCAAGGCGAGTGTGAGGGGGGGGGGGGACCCAAGATCA